GGCATTTAGGTAAGATTGTGCACCTGTTATCCTTGTGCACATAAATCCGGCCTCACCTCCTTCACTCTGAACTTGTCTTGGCATGTCTCAGTGCGAGTAAAATACTTGTCTTTGTTGTTACTGGTTTGCTGAAGAAAAGCCTTGTTGCTCTTCAATATACCAGCAGTTCTGCCACAGGCAACAGGCAACAGCTATTCAAAGTCCACATGAGTTATTCACCCTCAGAACTGGCCCCTGTGTGGTGCAAACTTTTCTGCGGCTAATGGACTTTTTTATTGACATTCCTACTTTACAGCATTGTAAGGGAAACGCCAAACTCTACCCGTGGCTTATTATAAATGTCTGTCCCGTGACGTTCACAGTAGCGTTTGTTGCATAATCAGTGTCGGGGTAAGCTGAAACCCTCATGAGTGTTCTGTTTTAGCCCCGCCCATAGTCCTCTGGAGTTTGACCATACTCACCATTGTTATATACGGTTTGCTTTGTAACGCTGGAAAAAACTGGAGGAGGATTTACTGTGCATTCAACACGTTGTGTTTTGAAGTAAGCAGCTTAAGCAAGTTCTCTGCTCTGACTTGACATCTAGAGGTTCAAACAAGTTCATGTGTGGTAACCTCACTCATGTTGGTTTCCAAAAACTCCCCTAGTGCCAGTTGTTCTTGGAAGTTCTACTTGGAGCGCCAGATGGTGTTCTTATACGGTTTCATTCAGTTCGTTGTTATTCTGGTCTGATTCGATTTAACGAGAAATGTGACGATTAGCCGCCCAAAACCATCGAGACTCAACAAACTCGTCTTTACCAACTTTCACTCAGATTGACTTCACTGTGGTAATCCGTCCCACACATTTAGAAGTATTATTGTGTTGATGTTTTCCAGTCTCCGTAGCTACAAACTCATCACTAGCCCGTCACATGGGTGTTCTGAGTTTCCTCTCTTTGTATTCCCTGGTTTGATCCAAGTGGTGTCATTCCATCTCACTATTGCCTCCACTGAAGCCAGCTGGAGAAAAAAGGAGCCAAAACAAAGAATCACTGTCAAGCGGGATGACGACGCTGAAACTATAAGTTGAGTAGTCAATTGGCAGAAAATAAATCGGTAACAATTGCCTCCGCCAAGGAGTTAATGTTGTATTTTGTCCTCTTCTGTCGGAAGGATTACGAAAAAAGAGCAGAGTTTTTGTCCGTATCACGACTTGAACCCACCTTGTCGGAAGAACTTCCAAACTTGGTGAACTGGAGCATTCTGAAAAGCATGTGAATACAACATTGTCTTCGGTGTAAGACCGCCTTGTTTGTTGCAGTAAACTCAATGATATTGTGTTTTGGTTGGACAAAATAAGCAATTTGAATACATTATTTTAATGGGAATTTCTACTATTTTCTGACAGACCAGACGTCTAGAACGTAATAAAAAAACATGCTGCAGATTAGACAATAGTGCAAAGCTCTAGATGGTTGCGTAATATGCCTCTCAGCACTTACTGTTGTTTGGATGCAAGTTGTCACATGACGATACGCCAACATTTCCCTCCCCAGATGTACTGTTTCTCCCAAAATTTCAACTTTGGTCTGTTTCTTCTGTAATCCAGGGAGCGTCCTCCCTTTGTTGTCAGGAAACACTTTGGTGACTTTCTGTCTGCAGACCGGCCGCATTCACTCATTCTAAAAGGCTACCATCAGTTTCATTCTTGTTCTCGTTCACTGCATCTTTCCATCATTAGTCGAATCATGAAAATAGAATGTGCATCATAAAGCAAATATTCAGTTCACATCTGAATCCAGAATTCTCCGGACAGTTATGACCACAAATAAAAAAATGTAAGCGTTTCCTTAATAATGTAGCAATTGTTGAGGTTCTCGCACTTTTTATAACGATAGTGCTTCGTCGTTCTCCTTTCTTAATTTGTTGTGAACTTGCAACAGCTTACACATTTAATTCACATCTTTCATTGATTGTGCTTGGCTTGATTTCAAATAAGGAAGCAATAACATTTTGATAACACTTTTTTTTTTAGATAAGTTATGCAAATTGATTGAATTATTTTCAGATGTTTGAACAATTCCTGAAGGTTTATATTTGGCCATTTCTGATAAGTTACTCTACATGGACTCAACACTAACTTTTACAAATGTGTTTCTAGGATGGCAACCAGGTATCTTCTTTTTGGGGACAAAACTGAAAATCCCTATATTTTAAATAATTTAAAAAATATGCAGTTACACGTTAGCTATACAATAACATATGAAATGTATACATGTATGCAGTACAATCTCAGCTGTCAGTTCAGACGCCAGACTACTCTCCCTCCCGAACGTAACCATTTTTATTTTAGCTGGTTCTTAGTCAGTTGAACTCTTCACCCCATTCTGACAACCTAATTTGCTTTAGTCACTGAAACAGATTCATGTACCGCACGCGTGTACCGTGTTTAGAAGTGGTTGTAACAGCAATACTTACTAATCCAACACATACTGAAAGTTTTGAGTCCACGTTTTGCTGTACATTTTGCTTTAAATATTAACAATTGGTAAAGTCCATAAATGTTTGCCAATGTCAACCTGGCAACCGTTACGTCTTGCCCTGTGTACTGAATATACAGTGTGTTGAATTGAATATGTTCTACAGCTACAGTATGATTCTGTTAATGGTTATGTATGTTTTTGTCTGCACTATGTGAAGCAACAAGGGGTGTAGCCCATTCATGGTCTGTACTTGACAGAGTGACAGACTCCCCTGGGTACAGGCCTATTGAAAACCCCTGTTTGGGAGCCAACTATAGAAGGGCCACATGTTATTTTTTTTCATTTGGTTATGTAACCGCTCCTGGGGTCACATAATACTGATGAGTGAGCCCTGGCTGCTGAGAAGTACATTCCTGTTTGTAATTTACATCTTCAGGAGATGGGTGTGTGTCTGTTGATATAGGCTAGAGACAATATGTATCTTATTCAACACATGTCTGCATTGTATGATGTTCTCTCAGGTAACGTGTGTTAGACATGGTCAAAGGCATGTAGGACAGGAGATTGACAGTGTTTCATAGCAGCAGACGTATGGGGAACATTCCTTCCTTGGTACAGTCCACTGATGGCAATCTACTGAGTGCTTCCGCTGGCCTAACACTCACACACTGGATGGTGTGTGGAGGAACGGAACATTTTGTCCTCGGGGGGGGGGGGTCTATTCTCTAATTAACCTGCTGTTTTCTTGCATTGGTCTTCAACGTCTTCCCATCGTCCTCCCATCGTCCTTTGTTGCAGACGTCAACCCAAGTTTAGGAATCTTCAACAGATACTAGATTCCCGAGGTCCATCCACCAATGGGCCGAGAAATATTTCCGTTAATAAGCCCAAATCTTAGTTTACAGGCTCATGTTGATTTACTTGACGTCAAACCTTCTGAATTATATTGGTTTGTTCAAGAGTTTTGCACAAATAGTCCCTGAGTGCCACACTCCCAGTTAAGATAAAAGCTTGTCGGTGCCCTCTGGTGGAGGTACTATTTTATGGTGACACAGTTTCTAAAATATACCTTAAGCTTTTTTGCATTGGTGTTTTTTTTTTTACCTGACCTTGTAAATACCAAAATGGGTTATAAGCAATTCTAAGTTAATAATAGCTGATGGAGATGTTGTTGACCCGGAAGTGTTGTGTCATTCTGGTCTGGTCACATCGCTCTGATTTCGAACATTTTAACTGATCTGATACCGCCATTTGTTTTTGATTTAAGTAGTTCTGGGAATGTTACTGAGCAGTCACAATATAAGTAAGTTGTGATTTGTAAATATACTTATAAAGATTAATTGGACAGAAGAAAATGTGTAGTTTCACTAGGTTTGTTTATTTTTAAACTTTCTAATTCTAAGGTTCATTTTTACACGTTTGTATTGGCCCTTTTTAAATAGCTTAATTAACAGAGTTGAATGTATTAATAGTTGGCACTTGTGGGCCTCCGTACGTCCTGCAGTTACTGTCCTCAGCAGACAGGCTCTGTAAGCAGGCGGAGTTGACGTGTCTCCCCGCCTCCTCTCAGCTCCTCTGACATCTCACCCGTCGGTTCATGTTACATTATTCTAAAAGTGGTCACAGTCACCCACTAAAGCCCCCTCGAGTGCACTCCGGTGGCCCTTTCCTCTCTCGCTGCTCTCGATGTAGCTTCAGCCGCAGGCAGCACCATGCCGTGCACTTTTTCTTACAAACCCCCGTGCTGCCCCGAGGACCCCGGCCGGCATGCAACCTGTGGCCCGCTGCTCTCCTACCGGACCCGCCGCAGGTAACGGGGGGGTTAGGGGTAGGGTTAATTGTTGTCACTGGAGACTAATTTGGTTAAGATTCACAGGTCTTGACACGCAACTTGCGTCATCATATATACTTTAATAGATGGTGGGAGAATGTGTGTGTCATACTCAGGCAGCAGCGCTTTGTTGTCGGGTCTTGGCTTGGGAACCGTAAGGTCACTGATTCAAGTCCCTGAGCGGACTTTGAAAATGAAATGTATACATTGTATATCGGAGAGGTGACAGTTCACTTCATGGGAGCTTTCGAGATGTCCTTGAGGGCACTGAAACATGGCAGACCCTTCGCTCTGACACCTCCATCAGTGCATCTTCTTACTATATCCTGTTATTGTTGCCAGCAGCCTTTTGAGACATGAGCACACCTAATACAGCAGTTCCACATTTGCACCTACCTTGTGCTGCTTGCAGCCACGCTTCCTTCATTTCTCCTGCCGTGACCTATAAACAGAGCTATACAGTACGACCAAGAGTGGTGACGAGTCATTTCATATAGTCTGCATTCCTGTGGGCATTCCACAGCGGTTGCTTTGATAAATTGAGCACCAATGTCTTGTCTAATCCTTTTTCTTTTATTTATTAATGTGGTGTTTCTGATTTTATTTGTTTATGCTGAGAGTTAAAGATGACTATCCTCTGGAGGTTTTGAATCCTGAAAGCTTTGGGATCAATTCTAAAAGGACCATATCTTTTCTTTTTCACAGGGCCTCGGGAACCAATGTTGCTGCCATTGACAATAAAATTGAACAGGCAATGGTGAGTACTCTAGTATTTACCATGCATCGTACACTTCTCTAGAGCTGCAATGGACCAAACGCATATTTTAATAATCCAGCCATTTTTGGAAGACATTTCATGCAAAAATATCAGAGGATAGTTTTTTCTGTTCACATCATAAACATTTAAATACAATTTGTAGAACTGGGATGGACACGTTTTTTTAGTATTTTCTGACCTATTTATCTGGTCAGGTCCTATTTATTAATTTCTTTATGTCACGTGTTCCCGCAGGACCTGGTGAAAAGCCATCTGATGTACGCGGTGCGGGAAGAGGTGGAGGTGTTGAAGGAGCAGATCAAGGAGCTGTTTGAGAGGAACTCTTTGCTGGAGAAGGAGAACGCTGTGTTGAAATCTCTGGCCAACAGCGAGCAGCTGTCTCAGCTGCCCGCACAGCCGGCCCCCAACTCCAGCACCACCCCCCCCCAGCAAGGACTCAGCCAGCCTCAGCAGCAGCCTCCGCTTCAAGTTCAGCCTCAGCAGCCCCACCCCCAGCCGCAGCTCCACCCCAAACCCCAGCCGCTCCAGACTCCGCTCGACCCCAGCCAACCGCAGCCCAACGTTACCTCTGCTTGAAGTGCATCCGAAAAGAAAAAAATCTATTACATCTAGTTTGTGAAATTAAAAAAGAAGATAAAAAAAAAAAAAACATTGTCTTCTTAGCTACCAGCTTGACCACAAAGTGCAGTGTGTGAGTGTGTGTGTGTGTGTGAGAGAGAATGTAAGTGTGTGCGAATGTAAGTGTGTGTATGCATCTGTACTGTGGGCCTTTTCCAGTGTTAATGCAATCATCGAGAGACAGAGAAAGTGTGTGTAGAGAGAGGGGGGGGGGGTGAGGGTGTTTGGTTTCATCTTGGCTGTGTTCCCGGAGCCTGCTGCGGAGCTCGTGGACAGGATGTCTTCTCCAGACTGGCCCGTGACCTCAGCTGGGGTGTCGGACAAAGAGGGGGGGCTTCACCTCACATAAGGGACAAACGGGAGTGATTGTCAAAAAGAGCGATTATTTTTTTAAATGACATATGAGTGGGTGACGGGGGTATTTGTAGCCTTGCTGTTTCATGTTGTACAGTAAGAAATGGGAAAGAAAGTTTCTCGGAGCGCACCACCGCTGCCGCCATCTTTACATCAACCTTTGCATCTTTCATGTCTTTATTTATTACAGGGCTGCTGTTCTCACGCCTAAACAATATCACGAACCTGTCCAACAGCAGCCCGGTGACTCGTTTCCACTTTCTTCTTCAGTGTTTCAACAGATCGGCCATACTTTGAAAATAGTGATGCTTTACGTTTGTTGAAAACGTAAGCTTAAAACAAATCTGACAAATGTTTAACACTAACTCAAATCAGCAGATCCAGTATGTACGGAAGAGGATTAGGGCCACATTTGATATTTGTTTGCGATCTGACCAAAAAGTTCCAAAATAATGTAGTTTTGGGAAGTCAGGATTCTGAGATTTTTTGGGCGAATTCTCTGAAAAAAAGTAGGAATTCTGACTTTAGTTTCATGATTCTAAGAAAAAAGTCATTTCTGAATTCTGAGAAACATTCGGAATCTTGAGGAAAAGTGAGAATTCTGGAAAAATAAATGTTAATCTGAGAAAAAAAAAGAAGGTAGAATTCTCATGAATCGGATAAGTTGGAATTCTGACTTTAATTATAGAGTTCTGAGGAAAAATAGTAATTGTTCTGATTTTTATTTCAAATTCTGAGAAAAAGTCTTACATTTTTTTCTCAGAATTAAAAAAATAAATCACTTGGTCGAATCTCAAACACATTCACGGTGGCCATAACCCTTTTCCGCAACTATGAATGTACATTTTTGTCAAATATAAAGTATTAAGAGCCTGACGGGTGTCTCTTCACCGTCAACATCAAATCGTAACGTGAGCGTGCAGAAAGGTATTTGAAGATATCATTCTGTTATCTAAAAAGGAATTAGTATTGCCATCACCCCCACTTTCATGATTTATTTTTTCCTCCCAATGTTTATCTTGAGGGGGGGGGGGGGGGAAGCTGTGAAAATCATTCAACCTACTTTGTAACCAAAGATGCAAAGCTGTGTAAAGAAATTGATTATTTTTAAATGCACACATGTATTTCTTTTTTTGTTACTTCCTCCTTCACACGATATGTTGTTGGTCAGCATGTTCTGCATGATCTGTAATCTTCAAACCACTTTCTTACCTCATTTTTATTCAGCACTCTTATTGTAAGATAGTCTGTGAACAGTGTAAATGGGAGAAGGGGGGGGGGTGATGCGGAGCAGAGAAAAATAACCTAGTGTTACTGACACTAGTCACAGAAAAATGAAGTGAGCCATGTTTTGTTCATTTAAATGGTGTTTGAGATTCATATGCCAATAGTTTTGTTACATTGCAAATTTTAATGTATTTAAATAAAAGCAATATTCAGATTCCATAATACGGGTTTCTTTGGTCTCATTTTAACTAGTTTAATACAATATTTTATTTTTAAAGGGACAAGTATATTGTCCCTCTAGCCTGGAGTGCTATTTATCAATCTAGATTGTTTGGGTGTGCGTTATCTCCAATAACATGTCTCTAAATGGCACTCTATATTAAAAACCAGCAGTTATGTCTCTTTCCAGATATGACCCAGTGACAAATGTATTTATTTGGCGCTTGGAGCATCACAAACCAATTAGTTGCATATGAAGCGGATATCTCCAACACAACATCGAGAATGATCAATAAAATAAAATGGTTTTATTTAGCTGTGAACTCCCCTAACTCAATAGTGCTGGCTACAGTCTGACTCATAAGGTGAAGCAGAGGAGGCTATATTCTCCCTTTAGGATGAGCGTCAGGACCAGTGGATGCACATTGTTTTCTGGGTCATACAGTTATTGTATTATAGTGTTGATTTTGGTGAAACTGTCCTGTTGGAGCCAGTTTTAGTTTTTATGTCAAAGGTCAAATACTATTGCCACCTGGTGGTCAAATCTGTAATATTTAGTTTAAGATAAAAGACTACATTTCCCACAACGGCAGCCTATGAGGAGACGGATATTGGCAACCTGAGTGGGAGAAGCCAACAAGACGCAGTTCTCAACCGTTTCATTCCTTAACGTTTATTTTTTGAAGAAAACAGGACAATCTAAGTTTGCTAATTATATTTGAGTTGTACATCTTTTGTTTTTAACTTTGAATACATTTTATTTTGGACTTACCACACGAGCTGCATATCAAGCCAGCCTTCCAAGTTAGTCAAAACAGACTGTTTTCAAAAGGTGTTTGAAGGCTAATAGAAAGATAGGAGGCTGCAACGTCTCCCTTTAACAACATTTAAACCCATTAACGTGGGTTCCTCAAACTGTGAAGAGGGGGTTATGTTGATTACAAGAGCAGATGGAACTTTACAGTGATTTGAACCTGTACAAATCGTTAGAGAAAACTCATTTATTTGAAGAAACATTACAAAACAATTCTCACAAAAAGAGTTTAGAGATCATACCAGTTGAGTAGCACTTGAAATGTTTGGCTCTATGAAACCTGATGTACTTTATGATTCTGTTTTCTTCAAGGTTGTGTCTTCCTGGTCGAATGTACTTATTGTAAGTCGCTTTGGACAAAAGCGTCAGCTAAATGTAATGTAATACGTGCCACCCTTGCAAACACATAGCGGTTCTCTGTGAAGAGAGATGCGTCCGAACAGTCGTCATGATAGTGTCGACAGTTTCAAGGCCATGGGAGAGAAAGAGTTCCTTCCTCCCCGGTGTGGGACATCCACAACACAGACAGTGGAGGACAATGAATGGGAACATATTTTTAACACTCCTCCGTTGACACGCGTTGTTATCCTCCCTTTCTTTAGTAAAGTCAGTGGTTGAGTCTGTTCCCTCCATCAGGAAGGTTGGGTTCACTGTGTAGGACAGGACTTCTGGGTAATTTGCCTCACAACTAACCAACGGTAACAAATCTGCTGCCCTTGCCGCTCTGTGCTGTGGAGGAGCGCTGATCCTTCAGGATGCGGAACCGCTCGTTCAGGGTGAGCGCTGTTTGCTGCACGGACAAAAAAGACAACTTTACTGAGAGAAATGATTTCAGTGGTCCTACAGACATTACACAATTACATTAAAAGACATTTGCGTCGTTTTCTGGACTTCTAAATAATAATTGTCAAAAGTATATCGTTTTTTTTTTACAAATAAATGATGTGATTAATGTTTTGTTTTTTTATTATCTAATGTACATATTCAAGTCACCAATTTAAACGTATCAGTGAAGCTGGAAACTGATGTGTATTTTACTTTGAGCAATTATTTATAAGCTCTTTGTAATGGTTTTTTCCTGCTAACTGTGTGATTCTTTAGGCTTGCATATTACATAGATGTAATATGTATTTATAATACAGGGCAGTATATGTATTTGATGAGACTTCATATGTAATGCTTTGAGCATACAGTCATAAATGCACACATGCAGTGTTACACACACACAGGACCAAACTCATGAACATAACCTGATAGACAACGCTGAGGGCTCAAACCCCCATCACAACACTTCTCAAGCTGTCACAGTGACACCCGTCAGAGCGTCCGTCCTCACAGACTTTACAGTGAGACAGTGGGCCCTTCTTACTTCTCTTATTTTTCATTTCCTCGCTCCTCGGTCTCGTCTCACCGGAAGTTGATTTGTCTGCGCCATCTTGAGTAGCGTCCCAATGGCCTTATTTTTGCCCGAGGAGCTATAACCGAGGAACCACCAGACCATCCTCCGATGAAATCCTCAGACACTCGCCCCGCCCCCTTACTGTGTATCGCTCACTGATTGGACGAGGCAGCGCATGCACTGATCTGATGCTTCTTGACATGAGAGCAGTTTCCCAGCGGAGTGAAGAAAATACATGAACCTCACGGGAGTCACTCCTCAGTTTATACTGTGTTTTGTTTCAATTCATGTTTCATTTAGTTACAAATATGTGATATATCTGAACAACAAAGTGGTCAAATTAATTGTATTCATTTTTTGGAAACATTTTCATGATCGCTTTTTTCGTTTATACATTTTAAGAATGGCGTTTATCTTTTTTGAGAATGAGTTCTTATTTTATTTAATGTATTTGGATCTACAACAGATGATACTAATGTTTATGTCAGTAAATGTGTGCTAACAGAGGCGGGGGGGTGTGTGGAAATAACGGGGACAGGGCTGCTGTCATACGAACAGCTGTGTGGCGTCATCACAAGACATCGCTTCACGTGGCGCTCCGGAGGAAAGGACGTCCCATTGCTCTTAAAACTCATTTCCCTGCTTCTCGTGGTTTCCTTGCGTCCCTCCATGCTTCCCTGGTGGGAGGGACTAAACGCAGGGAAACGACGCAAGTGAGGGAAGCAAGGAATCCATTTAACCGAAGTGAGAAGGGCCCAGAGTCTTACTAACTGTAGTTCCAGCAATGATGCTTTATTTTGAAAAGACAAATAGTTCCAAGATTAAGTGCTTGTAAAACATAGAGATCTTTCCCTTTACCAGCCGGCATTAGTAATAATATTCAGACCAAGTATGAAGACAACGTGTACAGACTTAAACGTTGAGGAAAATCCTATCACATAAGACTTTTTAAAATATTTTTTTATTTTAATTCGGAGGACTTTCTAAGCACTTGTTTAAGAAAATGGGACGTGTTTCATGGTGTTCAAATACTTGATTTTCATTCCTCAAAATTCATTTCCCCTGTTTTTCTTTTTAGACAATATGGGTTTACAAACAATTGAAATCAAAACAGTCCAATGCTTGCGTATCTAAGCACACTGATAAGTACTGCGCTCTCACCGGTTTCCCAACACTGTTGATGTCAAACTCCAGAGGCACTCCTTTGGGGATCTTCTTCTCCACCGTTTCTACCTTCGGAGGGGCTGCAATGGCTGCTGGGGGATGCAGGGTCCAAGCAGAGGGGGGCCTGGGAAGAAGTCACTTTGATCACGAGGTGTGTAGGGGGTGAATATTTCTGTATTTATTTGTGTGTAATATAATAAAATACTATACAGCAGTAATAAATAATACATGCTTATTCGAATGATGTCACTGTGTAAAAATTAAATTAAAGATATATACTCAGGCTGAGTCCTGGCTGTGGGGTTGTCAATTGAAACAGTCAAGATCCCATTGTTGGTTGATGATGTGCGCCACCTGGTGGAAAAACAGAGACACTGCGCTTTAGCACACAAACACTGGCAAACAGAACTTCCTTTCCTCATAGTTAATACTGAGACATACAGACATTCAACCACTAGAGACAATTAGACTCTGTGTCAGCCTATAATACTCACTGGCGAGTTCTGGCTGGAGGACTCTGAGGACTGTGAGGACTGTGAGGACTCTGAGGACTGTGAGGACTGTGAGGACTGTGAGGACTCTGAGGACTTGGCTTTATCACCTGGGCCTGCACCTGTACAATTGGAGATGAAAATAGAAAACACTTTCAGTTTCATTTACGGATACACTGCATTTCAACACTCTGGATGTCATGTAACCCATCCCGTACCTTGAGTCCTCTGTGGAACAGGAAGGTGGCCTGGCGGGTGTCTCTCTGAGTCTGCTGCTGGACAGGGGGCAGTGGTCTGCAGGAGTAAAAGGGCAGCAGTGTTAAGTACAGCTGCATGTGAACTGTGTGTGATGCTGTATGTAATTTGCTACAGGAATTAGCTCATGTAGATTACAGTGTTGTGTGTGTTGACATAGCTGAACACACCTTGATAATTGAATTATGCCTCTGTTTGGAAAAAAATACCTATGTGGTAAGAATCTAATAATTTAAAGAAATATGAGAAGATTTTACGCTATTTCTGGAAGTGATCAGAAAATCATATACAAATAATAAAACCCTATAAGAAAATATCATATCTCATTGAAGTATAGAATAGTATTAAAATAATAATAATAATACATCATTATTAGTGTTATGACCATAATTATAGCAAATATATATAGTTATATAAGTATAATCATTATTATTAATTTTATAATATTACATTTATATAAATGCTTGAGTAAGTTTGAGAAACCGGCTCGAGATACACTTTTTGTTATATTCCATGGAATGCTCTTAACATCCCGATAGCAATGAATATCTGAAGTGCTTTGACAAAAAATACATAAAAAAATGTCATCTGTGGAAGCTGTAGTACTGTAAAAAGCACGACCAATCATCTGAGCCGGCCGGGCTAAAATAACTGGATGGCCTACCTGCCTGTCAGCCTTCCATCTGTGCACAAACTTATCTCGTGCCCTCATTGGTCATGTGCGCGTTCGTGTGTGTTGGAGGAGGGGCTCTGTGAGGAAGTGGCAGATTTCTTCCGGCTGTGTATTTTCAAATTCTATCGCACTCCAGCTGGTTTCTCCAAAATGACCTACCCCACCTTTAAAGACACTTTACAAAGAAACATTTCACACATGCATAAAAAAAACCGCAAAAAACCCAAGATGAAATTAAACAAATTATGAATTTAACTTTTTGTCATTTTTCCCAGAATATTTGACGCAAGGGGTGTTGCAAATGTCTATGTGTGTATGACTGTTAAAAACATTACATTAAATATAATGCTAAAAGGTATGTACAAATCTGAGTTCCCCTTGTGTTCACAGAGATCCACACATTGCACAGGTGGTTCCTGAAGCTGTTCTCACCGGCGTCTCAGCTGGAAGGGTTTCCGGACCCCCGCTGCGCTCTGTCCCCTGCGGGGGTCCGGCTGCCGGTATGGCCGCCTCGGAGCCTCTGGCTTCCTGTACGGGGCCTCGGGGCGCTGGATGAAGGGCTTCGCTTTCGGCCTGGTTTTCTGCTGCGAATGAGACACAGTATAACCGTAAGGCAAGATTTTGAAAACGTACTGCCTGAAATAAAGCATAATTCAGATTAATACTCAAAATGTGAGTAACGGGAGACAGAAGAGAGCAGCAGCTTCACCATTAGACTCAGTGAGTAACGTTAGCCAATCAGCTTTTGCATATGTCTCTACAATGTCAGTGTGTATAAGATCAAACTTGAACTTTTATTTATAAGATTAAGAATTGAAAGATAAGAATTGAAAGATTTGTTTTAAGTCTATTAAAAGGAATTTTATCCCCAGGTGGGATGACATAACTGAATATAAAGTCAGTAAAATACTGCTTTAACGATTATAACTGAAGTGAAATCGAAAAAAAGAAAGTGGTCTGGGGTCGGCTGCCGTAATTCATGAGGCAATTTAGATTCTTATTAAGCCATTACAGCGCTTAATAGATAATTATGGGGTAATTTTTAAAGTGTTTAAGGTCTGAAGCAGACAGAGTTTGCTGCTCCTGGATACCAGATGATGATGTGTGTTGCCAGGCAACCATGGCGTAATGAAGGTGGGTAAGATCCAGGTCATGAAGCAGCAGGAGTACAGTCTGCAGGTCTGATGCTACTAGACCAGAGGCCTGTACTACGAAGCCGGATTTTCATTTAGCGAGCTAACTTCAGGGAAAACTCTGGGTATCCGGTCCTACGACGCTTTTTCACTTCTTAGCGGGCTAGATCTCCATGGTAACTTGTGCTGAACGGCTAGCCTGGTGCGGAGCAGGTTAGGTTCCAGGATAAGAGATCAACACAGTGAAAGCACCGCCTGCTGACCAATCAGAGCTCAGTGTGCGGAGTTTAAAGCGATCAAGTCATATTACAGGAGAATGGAAATACAGTTTAGACTGCCGTTGCAGGAAAGACGGCCGGCAAAAATCAACCGACTGTGTGAACGTGAAAATGAATAGAATATCACCTCCATCTTCAGAGCAATCTGACTATTATAACATTAGCGTTAAGAAAGCTTAATTAAATATCTGCCACAACATAAGTAACCGGATCAAAGTAACATTACGTAGGCCTACAGTCCGCGGCACTGTGAGTGCAGACGTCGATGTGTCCCATTATCACATCATATCACATCACAATGTATCATATATTTCCTTATCTGAGTCAGCTGAGCCGTATCTGGCCATGCAACAGTCAGTGTCACATACTGTATGCAGAAGTATTATTTTGAGCAACACATTAAGTTGACGAAACACTCGAGTCAAATGTAATTAAAGTCAGATCGTGTCTTAGACGGGGCAGTGATATCATGAACCTGTTAATGAATGCATTCAAACACTTTTTCTTTTACCAACTGTATTCACCTTGCAACTATGTCTCAAGATTGATGCAAAACAAGTGACATTTGACCTTTTTAGAGAGGTTTAGCAAAAAAAACTCCACCTCTGAGGTGATTTGGGTGGAAATGGGGGTTTTACCGTTTCTCTGGAACCCACTCACACACACAGTCTAAAACAAAAAGGTGTGGGCTTCGTGCACAGAGTTTTTGCACCAGAGTGAAGCTATCTCTAGGTCTGACTTCTAGAAACGGAAATGCAGGTTTATTGCTTATGGATTATCAGAAATCATTTCAAAAGTGACACAGACACATTGGATTAACCTATGGATTAACCTTCAGCAGCATTTTTATTGTTTTAATGCCATTGAAGACCACTTTTGACCAGACTACGACACAGGTGAGCCATGTTAGCGTTTTTAGCGACCTAGCGCCATATGTTTTGATGTCTGTTCTTGTTATTATCTCCGCGAGTTCGTATAATTGAGAGATAATGAGGGTACCCTTCGATTCTGTGTCACCTCACGATGTGAAACGATGGGTTGGATGTGCATAAATAATAAGGTTTTGTGAGTGAATTTCGGTGTAGTCATCTGTTAGCATTTTTCGCTCGTTGCTAATTCAGAGGCTCAGCGTTAGCATTGTGGGGTTTTTTTTGAAAAAAAAATTAAAATGATCATGAGGTGAGTTGCTTCCTGTTACATGGATATAAAACATTCATAGTTTATTAAATGAACATGCCCTCAGACACTGGCCGTTTCTCAATCGCGAGGATGCTTGCTTGGTAGCACATGTCTTCCGAGTCACTTCCTTCAGAAGCTAGGTAAGAATCCTTCCTGGCATTCGGAAAACGAAGAGTGGAACAGGCTAGCAAGTGTGCAGGTGTGCGTCATATGAGAGGCCCCGCCTTACATTTTCCGCCACAGATTTGGGGAAATTGGTCCGTGCGCAAAGCATTGTGGGGATTTGAAGGACACGAAGTCTACCCATGTGCAATATTGGCTTGGAAGCCAGTTTCCTCGCGATTGAGAAACGGCCACTGTTTCCTGCAAGAAGTTGCGGCAGTGCCCCGGTACCGGTGTCTCTCGGGCTTAACAGGTTTCAAGTCTATGTTTTATTGTTTTGAACCCTTCTACTCCTGGATGCCAAAACACGGCAGCTCCTTTGCTCTGAAACCTCTCCATCAATGCAGATGTGTATTTGAACTATATCTGAATAACAAAAACAGTGTGAAACCTGAATTTCCCCTAGGGGATAAATAAAGGCTGCCTTCTTGATGTTGTGATTTGCCTGGGGACTGTCACATCTGATCTGACAACAATGCATCCCACATGTCTCCACTCCAGTATGTCTCCATTACCTGGGTGACTGCGGCTCTGTTCAGGGTACCGACCCTCTTCAGCAGGGCCCCGGGCCGCCGTGCTGCCAGCCCGGTGATAACCCCCTGACCCCGCCGTCGACCAGGTGGGGGAGGGACCCTTCTGTTTCTTAATTTAGCTGCTCCTCCTCTGGGCACACCTCCTCCTGGTAAAGATAATATTAGCAACACATGTATGGAGAAAGTAATAACATGCAATAGGTCCATGTTACCAGCAACACACACACACACACACACACACACACACACACACACACACACACACACACACACACACACACACACACACACACACACACACACACACACACACACACACACACACACACACACACACACACACACACACAACACACACACACACACACACACACACACACACACACACACACACACACACACACACACACACACACACACACACACACACACACACACACACACACACACACACACACACACACACACACACACACACACACACACACACACACACACACACACACACACACACACACACACACACACACACACACACACACACACACACACACACTTCTCTGCACAGGTCCAGCTGTCCGGGTTGTGAAGCCCTTTCCCTGGGTCAGACGGCCTTTCTTTTTCACTGGTCTGCGGGTCACTGTGGCCTGTCTCCTCTGCAACTGTTGCTCTTTCTTGTTTAACCGAATGATGTCATCTGTGCAATGTAACACAAGAGCAATGTGAGCGTCTGAATACTCAAATTAGGTATATTTAGCTACCTACCATTTGTCAGTGGCTAGCATTAGCTAGTACTTTATAGTGTTTCTATCGAGGACCTTACCTAATGACATGTCGACTTTGTCCGTAACCGCAGGTGTTCTCCCTCTAGCTGCTGCATTATCACCGTTCATACTGTCAAATCACGATAAATCTTGAGTGCAAAGGAAATTATAGTAGTAGTAGTAGTCAGCAGCCGTGCTAACTGTTCGTCCCTTTTGAGGCTACGCTACAAAAATACACGACCCTCCTCCAAACTGCATTGCGCATGCGCTTTCAAGACATTAAATCACGTTGCATTGTTGGAAATGTAGTTAAATCCAATCAAAACAGTGTGTTACAAAACCGTAACATTGAATTGCTCACGTAACTAGTTGTATAAAGGAAATGCAACGCCCGCTAACGCGTTTTTCATTGTTCGACTGTTAAAAGGACGTTTCTGTCGTGTATTTATTTTTTAGCCGGCTTTAAATTAGCTCCGACATTACTATTAATTGTATGCTGCACAGCATTTGCAGGAGGTAAGTTACATGTTCCACGCGCGGGTAGTTTGAATAACAAGTTAACTTCGTCGTGTTGATGGCATTGTTTCTATAATAGGCTCATAGGCTTGTGTTCGTACTTCTGTTATGTTTTTCTTATGTTTGGCTAACGTTCACGTGGTATCTTTAGTATTTGACTATGTTCAATGTGGTTTATCTGCAGCTCATCTTTCTTGAGGCAATACTTGAAAGTTGTCGCCCAAAGTGATCAGGGACCCACTTCATTATTCTCAACAAAGGCCAAGGCATTCACCTGTCAAGCCATCATGTCTGGGAAAAAACGAAAGTCTACATCTGCTGCTGCTGCTGCTGTTAAAGAGCCCGGTGCTAAGCAGCAGAAGCTGGATCCCACGAAGGAGAAGGGCTGGCTGCAGGACAGTCTGAAGCAGCAGAGGACAAAGAACAAGCAGATGAAATTCAACAGAAAACGCCTCCGCTACATATCCAACACTGAGAGGATAAAGCAGGGCTCAGAGGGTGTCCTGTACTGGATGTCACGAGACCACAGAGTACAAGGTAAACACTAACACAGCAACAAGGGCATTTTTATTGACTTGTGTCCTCTCAGTGGTCAACATGTTTTGTTTGTTTCAGATAATTGGGCTCTGATCCATGCCCAGCAGCTTGCTCTGAAGGAGAAGCTTCCTCTGCACGTCTGTTTCTGCCTGTTTGTCCCAAAATCATTGCTGTCCACTCTGAGACATTACAGCTTCATGCTGAAAGGTCTGAAAGAAGTCGAAAAGGTATTCATGTCATGACTTTTAAATGCACGAGTACTGTACATTCAGTAGACACATACAAGGCCTTTGGTTTAGGGTATTTATGTACACGATAAAAAATAAAAAAGATGTGCTGCAAAACCAAGAATATAAATATAAAAAATACAATCAATCAAATCAAAATGCATGATTTAGTTTGTCTATTTTTCGGTTGGCACATCAACCAGTTCAAGCAATAACACCAAATATTTGCAGTCCCAAATAATGCATCGCTTTCTGTTTAATATAATACTATTGTATAATGAAAACTTAAAGCTAGCTTGACTATATTTTTATTGGATGTATGCCTAAAACAATTATTTGGATAGGCAGAGAATAAATCAATTACAATGGTGATTAAAACATGCAGACCTTCTCTTAATGATGCTTCTTGATTGCAGGGATTTGTTGTTATAGGGCTGTCCTTTACGAAAGAAACAATGTTGTCGACTGATTGATTTGTTTATTTAATTAACAGATCTGTAAAACGGAGTTCCTCCGAAAAGATTTTCTAAAGAACCATCTTACAAGAGTTTTGCTTGGAAGATTCTCAAAGTATGGAACAATTATGTATTGACTAAAGAAATCTTAGATTGGTTTAGACCAATTATAACCAACTAGTCAATTAATTGAAGGGGCATTTTTTTGTGCTGTTTTACATTAGATTATATCAACCTGAAACAAGCAGATTAGAGACATACGCCTTAGGGATCTGATGCAGGTATTGTGGATTATTCACAGGTGTCCCACAAGGATCAATTATTGGGCCTCTGTTATTCATTTAAAGCGTGCTGTGAGTTACATAAAGACAATACAAATACATTTTACACATGACATTCAATTTCTTTGCACCTTTACTCATATTCATTGTTGTTGTTTTGCCCTCACTAAACAGGAGTGCAAAGCCTTAGACATCCAGTTCCACCTGCTCCGTGGTTCAGCTGGAGACGTTCTCCCCGGCTTTGTGTCTGATCGAGAACTGGGCGCAGTGGTAACAGACTTCTCTCCCCTCAGAGAGCCACTGCAGTGGTTGGAGGACGTTAAAAAGACTCTTCCAAAAGATATTCCCCTCATACAGGTAGACACTTTCACTCAGAGAGGAAGTTAGCATTGATGCGTTTCCCCCCGTCTTTCACTGATATCTTGTCCTCATCATGTTTGTTAAAAATAAAATGGCTTTGAGAAACACTGTAATAGCACTCTCATTGTACATGTATTTCCCTTTTTGTATTTGCAAATGTGTGCTGTCAGTATTCCTTTATTATCTGTTATAAATACCTATATTTCTCTTTTATAGGTTGATGCCCACAATGTTGTTCCCTGCTGGGTAGCCTCACCTAAACTTGAGTACGCAGCCAGAACAATCCGTGGAAAAATCACAAAGCTTCTTCCAGATTTCCTCACAGACCTTCCTCTTGTAGAGAAACACCCCTACACAGCTGCAAGAACCGCCAAAGTAAGTGCTGCAGTAACCACGAGAGTACCTTTGAACAGTGATTAACCAGCACAGTCAGAGAGTTGTGAATAAAAGTGAATTCAATATTATAAAGAGAATAACAGAAGTATGGCATTTGTAGGACTTTTTGATTGGTTTAGACCAGGGGTTCTCAAACTTTTTGTTTATGCGGACCACTATTTATTATCAAGGATTTTCGCGGACCACCTCATATGCAAACCGTAAAAATAAGTACATATATAAACGTAGTGTTAAAACGCCGATATATTTTTATAGTTAATTATAGACAATCAAAAGTAAATTGAAGCCTATCTGATACTTTTGTCGCATGTGTGACCGGTGTCTGTCTGCATTGTGTATGTTTCTCAAAGAGGACGGCGGACACTATTTTAACTAGGTCATCCCAAACAATGCCACAAGTGCTCACGCACGCAGTGAACTCACAAAACGGGCAGAAACAAAAACTACCGCTATGCTTAGTCCTACTTTAGTTACTGTACTGCAAAAAGCAGACGGCGCTGCGCTCAACACACACAGACTCAAACCCATGGACACAACGGCACATAAGTAACATAAACAATGTATAGGCCTAAGTTGCATAAATGGTTGAGCTACAGTATTGCAACTAAGCAGACAGTGCTGCTTCTCTCTCTCTCTCTCTCTCTCTCTCTCTCTCTCTCTCTCTCTCTCTCTCTCTCTCTCTCTCTCTCTCTCTCTCTCTCTCTCTCTATCTCCACTTTCAAAATCTATTTAAATCTCATAACAAACAAAATTCCCAAAGTTGTCCTGAAATTAACTTATTAAATAAACAAAACGAAAAATATAACCTACTCTGGGGCGGATCTAGAAACATATTCATGTGGTGGCAAGAGGGTGGCAGGAGATTTTGAGGGGTGGCATCCCCTGGCAGAAGTATATGCTGATTTAATCGCAGTCATATCAATCAATGTTAACTTGGAAAGCCACACTATTGATATTTTAACTCAATAACATTAGGTGATATTATTGTGGCACATCAGTAAAGCCTTAAATATAAATATAGCCTATAAGATGGCAGACATAATTGAATGAATTTTAACTGAACAATAACTGAATGAGTTGGTTTCACTCTTAAAACAGGGGTACCAAATGTATGCAGTCTGCTGCGATAAGTACATTAATTAACTGTCTCATCGATGTTTGTCTGAATTAATATGATCATATTAACAATCATATTATTCCTATCAGCTGTCAATCACTGTCACGGCCCGTCCACACAGCAGCGTTAAAAAAATCTTCCAACGCTTCTGCCCATTGACTTTGAATGGGGTGACGTCACTTTGCCTCGCTTTTCGCCGACCTGCATTGTGGGGAAGCGAAGCGAAGATTTCCAGGATTTTCAGGATTCAAAAGTTGAGCAATGTTCAACTTTTGAAGCTGAGGTGGAAGCGTCAGCCAATCAAATCCTGTTTATGCAAATCTGACAGTACAAGCGCTAGCCAATCAAACCGCGTGCAAACTGGGAGAGCCAGACCGCAGTTCATTTTCTATATTCCTGAAAATGGAGGAGAAATGAGTTATTGCGGTAGCAAATCACCCGGTTCTTTATGACCAGTCGCTAATAACGTAACGGGATACAAACCGGAGGAACCAGGCATGGAGGGAGGTGGCAGAGACAGTGGGTGAAACTGGTAGGTTTTCGCCGGTTTGGGGATTTTATATCCAGTTTACTTCGTTTTAACATTGCTATTGCTTTGTATGTCGGGGGCGGGAGATTCATGTGATTGGTTGTTGGTCGCGTTGCTCGCAAAAAATCACCAAGCTTTCAGACACGCCCACCTCCAAGATTTTCAAGTTTTAGCGCTGCTGTGTGGACGGGCCGTTATGATGCGGCGATTACCATTTTGTTCAGCAAAACGCCTCACAAACCTATTAAGATCCAAAGCTTTAGTGCGTTTTGATTCAATGCTGAGTACAGCCAAACTTGACAGTCTCTTCTCTGTCATTGTAGACCGCAAATACCTCATTCCTTCCGTCTACTTGGGTCCGGTCCGGATGCTTCTCGTTTTGCACCGTTCCGTTCAAATGAAATCGCCGCCAATCATATTTCCACGCTCGCGCCAGGGCCGGGGGAGGGGTTACAAGGCTCAAGTCTTGTGCTGCATTCACATTAGAAATGTTCTCTCATAAATGTCCGATGAGCCCAACGACCACTACCCCACTGCCTGATATCATTAGAAAGCTAGGAATCTCCTCTTTCCAATAGTGTATACAACTCAAAATGTGTCTTCGGGTCAATGCGACTGATTTCGTTATAGCAAGTCACATATGAGGTGGTCCCCGAAAATCCTTGACGAAAAAAAGTGGATTTTATTTAGCTTTTGTTCACGGACCACCTGCAGTACCGATCCGTGGACCACAGTTTGAGAACCGCTGGTTTAGACGGTCATAATTGAAAACCTAAAAACACAATATTCATTGCTTGGAAACTAGTTTGATCCTCCCGAATTATAAAAGAATAGTGAACTTCTTTCACTTTTGTAGTTGGTCATTACAAAACCATATTTAGATTTTTGGCTCTTCACTGTCAGTTATGACCTCTGCTGATTTTCTTCTTCTTTCCTTGACGTTGCAGAAGGTAGACTGGGAAAAAAACCTGGCCTCTCTGCAGGTAGACCGAACAATAGAGGAACCGGAGTGGGCTAAACCCGGCACCAAGGGAGGAGTCGCCATGTTGGAGTCCTTCATTGATGAACGCCTTAAACTATTTGCAACCCAACGCAACGACCCAAACGCTGCGGCCCTCAGCCAGCTGTCCCCCTGGATCCGCTTTGGTAGGTTGAACGATGATGCTCTTATTCATTCTTTTAATTGCCACATTTTCTTACAAGATTAAACAACCATTTGCTCATATGTAAGTAAAAGGACCCGAGCTAGCATACTATCACAGACTGCTGACCTGTATGATTGCGAGTGCTTCACAGAATGGTAAACGTTCATTATTTTAGCCGCTGTTACCTTTATGTGTTTGGTTATCTTCTTTTTTTTAAAATGTTGAGCCTGGCATTTCTTGTGAGTCTTGCATGTAGTGTCGTTTCAAATCATATTCACCTCCATGCCTGATTGAACTCTCTGGGAATCGCCCTCCACCGACCCAAAAGTAAATTTTGTTTCCAGACTTTGTAGGTTGATTGACATCTGACACAGCTAATGACAAAAGCCTTCTCTTGCTTTCTAAACAGCCATTGGATAAAAGCCAAGTTTTAGAAGGTGCAACTGTCAATCAAATGCAGAACATGTCTCAATTCATGGGACGCGGGACAAATTATGAAATTGCTGTGCAATCTAGCAAAAAGCAGGACACCTGGTCACCCTTTCAGATACAGTACAGCATTAACAATTTAGTAATTTAGTGAAATTGAAGATTGTCCTACATAACAGTAACACAACTCTCTCCAAAATGATATAGTCAAATAGGAATCTTATACCAGAACAGAGGTACTTCCTTGCTTCTCTTTCTTTGTTACCAAACATCTTTAGTTGAGTTAAACGTGAACGACCATGACAATAGATCAGAGAATGTTAACTCCAGAAGACTTCTGCTCTTTTCTTATCCTCCTCAACCATCATTTTTCCTCCCATCAGGCCAGCTGTCAGCCCAGCGTGTGGCGCTGCAGGTTCAGCAGTGTGGAAGCTCTGCAGGTCCAGCTGTTGCCTCCTTCATCGAGGAGCTGGTGGTGCGCAGGGAGCTGACGGACAACTTCTGTTTCTACAACGAAAAATACGACCGCGTTGAGGGTTAGTTTAGATCTCATTCAGTTGCATCCTGTTCAATCCGTTATGATTAATGCCCCATTATCGATGTCATTAACATCAAACGCTGGCTGAATTTACGAGATGGGTTGATTTATTTCTTGTCTGGGTTTTTTATTTCCTACTTCATCTATGTTGGTCTTTAAATGTGAAAAGCTGGACCTGCTTGACCTCCTTGATACCGTTGCTAAAGGTTGTGAGCCCCACACGTAGCGTTTCTTCATTATCCGGTAGCTTAATTTTCCCTTTTAGCTCTTCCTCATGGTCACTAGCTTTTGGAGATTTCTTCCATTTCAGGTTGTTCCTAAACTTTTGTCTTGCTTTTTGTTTTTCTTTCCGGCTATTTTGATGAATTCCCCCACTCTTATCTCAGCTTTTTTTGTCGACTGGTTGAATGTTGTGTGTTTATTTGAATCAACCTGAGAGAGTTTGTTAAGTTCCACCTACTCACTCCGCGGGGGGAGGTTGAATTTTTGTAATGTCTGTGTAGATGGCATTTAGAATGCTGCAGTTTGAAGAACCAGACAGGAGTTACCAAACAGATAAGAACTGTACAGTTGAAACATTTATCAATGTAGTCTAACGCCAAAGCCACCGGACTCCAAAGGAAAAACAAGTAGTGCATTAGGTTAGCATTTATTTTAGTTTGCTAAAATGTTTTCCTGCTGACCCTGTACACAGCAGTACATTGCTTTACTTTCGTGCAAGGTATAGTGTCTGCTTCTTCATCTGGGGGCGTAAGGTACTGTAGCTAACAAACTGTCTGGATAGGAACCTCGTACAACCCCAGTTCAAAACATCAAGATTACACTTTTAATGTGTCTATAGTGATAACTTGTATAGCATGTTTATAATGATTCAGCTCTTGAAGCAGTGGCGTAGCCAGGAATTATTGTGTGGGTGGGCCTGGAGAAATGTAGGTGGGCCAGGGGGAGACATATTAAGCGTGGGGTCTGAGCTGAAACTTCATTAATGATTTTAATGATTTTTGAATGCACTAATGGAACATAAGCATAAATTAGCAGTGAAAACAAAAAACATAGGCACGGCGGCCTCATCGTGCTGACCAGCGGCATCTCCATCTGGTCGAGAGACTGCAACGCCAAAGACTGGAAGTCTCTGCAGAGAGTGGTTAGGACAGCAGAGAAGATAATCGGAGTTTCTCTCCCTCCCATCAGAGACACCGCTCAGAAACGCTCCCTGACAAAAGCCCAGAACATGTTGAAAGACCCCACTCATCCTCACCATGCTCTGTTCTCCCTGCTGCACTCCAGCAAGAGGTTCCGCAGCATTAAGAGCAGAACAGCCAGATTCTGCAATAGCTTTTTCCCCCATGCCATCAGACTGCTGAACAGCAAGTAGACCAGTAACATAAAGATTACATTACGCTGTGTAAAGAGCACATATTTGTTATATAGTATGTCTATTTTATTTATATGTATAGTAAATCTTTATATTTTAAACGCACGCTTTATCTTTAATTTTATCAGCACCACGTCACTATTATTTATGTACAATTTTAGCAAGTTTTTATATTGTCCTGTTCCTGTAAGCCAGTACAACGACATTTCGTTTTAATAGTACACTCTGTGTCTTGTTGAAATGACAAAGTATTTCTATGTCTATGTCTTATCGATCCGGTCCTTTAACATTACTTTTATCGGTTCTTTTGGAGAAAGAAATAAGGTAAACTAACTAAACAAATTGTGAACAAAACTAACATTGCTTTTTATTTCAATGAAATACATAATATTTCACATCAAAAGAAACAACAATGTTTTAACAAATCGTATTAAATCATCTGATGACAGAACTGTAAACAGAATAGCTGAAACTTTAACAAAATAAATAACTGTTACCTCTAATCATTAACCCATGTTTGTATCATGGAGTTAACTCTGTGTGTTGCTGCTAGCATACATAACACCTGACGTGGAAACGTTACTCGTGGATGGGGCTACAGAGCTACTAGAAACACAGTGGAACCCGGTGCATTCCTCCGTCTGAATGTGGAGCACTTTTGCTAAATGTTTAGACAAATTGCTCGTGTTACCGCCCTTACATGCTAAATCCTTATTGCACTTTTGGTAACGAGTATTGTCCACATCGACACGGCTATAGTTTAACCACACCTCGGAGCGCGTTCTCTCTGCCATCTCCTCCGTGTGTGTGTGTGTGTTGCTGCATGTAGCAGCTGCGCGTGTGTAAACTGCCCCGCCCCCTCGCACACAGACGGGGGAGAGAGATCTCTCGACTGGATTGGAAAGATCTAAAATACTAAAAATAATCAGACGCATTTTGCAGTCTTTTTGCGTATTAGAAACGGAGTTGGCGACACTTAAACTGCAATGTAATGTTTGTGTAGCAATAATACATACGACATATATCGGGGGCCACAGGTTGTTTATCCTTGACAGTCGCACGGTGGGCACACACTGAGTGTTTTCATATTCAGCAAATGTGTACACGCTAAACTGCAGACCTCAAGAAGAAATAATACTTTCATTCACTCACGGCAAAAGTTACTTTACTTACTATAAAAACTCACGGTAAAAAAATGCACTCCCTATTCCATTGTCATGAAGGTGGAATCTAACTATATCCAGAATAAGTTTTATTGGATCCAGGCTAGACACATGTTTATTTCTGCTGTAAAGTTGGGCATTTTAACATGGGGGTCTATGGGAATAGCTCATTTTTGCATCCATCCCCTGTCGGCCACTAGATGAACTGCAGTTTGTGGCACTTCCTTCTGGGCTTCCCGGCTCTGCGCTATGAAGCGCTGATTGGCTGTGGGTGGGCCAGACGTGCATGTGCACAGCTACGCCACTGTCTTGAAGTTGTCTTTGTTTTAAATGTTGTCTGTGTGTTCCTCAGGGGCGTATGAATGGGCTCAGAAGACTTTAAAGGATCATGCCGAAGACAAGAGGGAGTATCTCTACACACGGGAGCAGCTGGAGAAAGCAAAGACACATGACAAACTCTGGAATGCCTCTCAGGTACCTTCTCATTCCAGTTTTGATCACCAGTCTGTGTTAAGATATGTTTTCTTACTGCTGTGTATTTCAAATGATCTCCATTAGTACCAGATGATCACTGAGGGGAAGATGCATGGTTTCCTGAGGATGTACTGGGCCAAAAAGATTCTGGAGTGGACTTCTTCACCAGAGGAGGCGCTCTCCATAGCGCTCTACCTAAACGACCGCTACAGTCTGGATGGCCAGGACCCCAATGGCTTTGTCGGTGAGGACATGGATTACATTTTCAGTGTAACTGACTAACTCAATGAACTTTTCTCACATATTCATGCCCTTCTTTGTCCCTCCTGTAGGTTGTATGTGGTCTATCTGTGGCACCCATGACCAAGGCTGGAAAGAGAGAGAGGTTTTTGGAAAGATCCGCTACATGAACTACAAAGGCTGCCAGCGGAAGTTTGATGTAGCTAAGTTTGAGAGAAAGTACTGTTCCAAAAACCTCTAAAAGCATCAAAAGTATACAGTATACATCTCCTACACCTTAAGTTCCAGGGAGCGTCTGTATATCCTTTTTTTGACTCACTGCCTATTTTTGTCATGAACTTTAAATTGTGTATGACTTGGGCTGTTTCCTTTACTTAATATTCAGGAATGTGGTTTTTGCTTATCAAGCTGGTTTACTGTACAGTATGCAGCAAGCTACGCATACAGGGCTATCAACTTTGTTTTATGCTGCTTTTTTGTTTTTCATAAACATTATTTTACACTTAAGATGCCTTGTCCTTGATCCAAACTATTTTCTATTTACTTATCAGTTTTTTTGTTCATTTTCAGCTTTACACAGCTGTCATTTATCTGTAAGATCGGAAATACAGCATTTATAATTAAAATAATAATTAGTAAGACTTGTTTGATTATTGTTTACAAATATAGACACACCAACTCTCCATCACTTGAACTGATTTCATAAACATTATATACCAATGATATAGCCAGACTTAGAAGTGTAATCAAATCTGAACTTAGATGAACTGTCAACAAATGAATGTAAACATGGATGCATTCTGGAATCAATAATGGAAATGAAAAATATGAATATTGATTTACATCATGTTTGTACATTTGGTTTTGCCAAGTGCTGATAGCATAAGCATAAAAACAAAATCTCCCCTCTATTATGGGCCTTTTTTGTGTTCTTTTAAGGAAGTCTCCAATGGACAGAGTTAACCTGTTAAGCACTGAGCCTGTTTTTCAGGTTTCAGGCTCAAAAATGACATTTCCAGAACAAATGACCATACACTCTTAAAACTACTGGGTTAAAAAATAACCCAATCATAACCCAGCTGCTGAGTCACTATAGGACAGAACACACGCTGGGTTGTCTTAACCCATATGCTGGGCTGGATCATTTTAACCCATGTGCGGGGTTGTTTATTTGACCCAAGCTTGTGATTGAAATTAACTATATTGTTGGGCTAAATAGAATATAATAATAATGTATAATAGTGTAATGAATTATCTCCAAACACATATATATATATATAAAATGCATTTATTGATAATTTGAACAGCTTTGGCAAATCGCCAACATTCCATGTCCACTATAAAAGAACAATGCATTTTAGCACAATACAAATTCAATATATTTAACTCTTTTAAATAATACAAAAAACACCTTAAACAGTGCTAGGGCCTTGAGAAATATCTGTGTGTATAACCATCACTTATGAGTGAACACAATTTTCAGGAACAGTTCTGCGTTAACACAGACCATAAAGACCCAATACATATAAAAGTATAAAACAACATCTACGAACAGTCCTTCAACTTGAAGCAGTTAACACATCTGTCAATGAACACAACAGAACACAGATGTAAAGCAGCAGGATGTAAACAGAGGAGAACAGTGTGTGTGTGTGATTGTTAAAGTGCAACTTTGTTGGTAGGATTAAACTGCCAAAAGCTTTTTCAGGCTCAACACCCTGGGCTTCAAGTTCCCCTCATCCAGGACCATCAACACTTTCTGGGTGAAGTCGAAAGTGTAGCTCAGATGCAGGGCAAAGGTCAGTGCAAAAAGCAGGATGAATGCGTCAGCCAGTGTGGGTTTTTTGAATTGTGGGGAGTTGGATAACTCCGTTACCCTCAATGACAACAGCGATCCTCTCTGGGCAGAAGAGCGTGGCGTCTGTTGACCTGGCACTGATCATGAGAAGTCCGACCGCGATGCCCTCTGTGTCTGGATCATCAGAATGCTCCACCTGATGACAAGAACAGATAAACGTTATCCAAATTGCCTTGCCTCTCTCAGAAATGTGTTTTCTGAAGAATACATCAGTGACATATCACATCAAATAACCTTGTGTTTTGTGCATAATGTGGGTTTAAGGAAACGCCTATTAGCATTGCACAACATAATGTTACAGCACCAGAAACGTCAGCCTCCAAAATAACCAATCAGTTGACATAAATGCTTTCAACAAAAAAACATGTATAACCTTCATAAGGGTAGGATTTATTTTATCACTGTATTAGACTGTTACTATTAGCTAGTTGTACCTAATAAACTGGCAACTGAATATATATTTACAGTATAATCTCTCCCTACTACACATACAAAAAAATATGGGGAACACTAGAGATTATTTTGTATTGAACACTGATGCTGCAGGAAAGAAAGCCCTCTCTTGATTGTGTATTTTATTAAATCACGTGAGCCCATTTTTTACACTGAAACCTAAAGAGCTTAATTTCAAATAAATCCTAAAGTAGAAATCATATTCAACACCTCTGAAGTGTTGAAGTAAAGGGAGATTATGTTCAACATGTCCATTGTGTACCTTACAATAATTACAATTCTTATGTCAATATTCAAATCTTGGAACTGGAACCTGAATGGGATGTGAGCAACATAATGTTAAAGAGTAAGAATAATGTTTGATTAACAACACCTCAGTGACAGAATCAAGCTTTGATGACACCATGCAGGACAGTTCATACTTTTTCAAACTAAATCTATCATTTATTATAATTTTTTCACTATAAAAATTAAAATAATTGTCTACCTGTGATAGAGCTCCTGAAACAATGTAACAAGATAAACTATATTTTTTGATGATCTGTCACATACATTCAAAACAGTTTATGAAATCCTCAGACACTCGCCCCGCCCCCTTACTGTGCATCGCTCACTGATTGGACGATGCAGTGCTTGCACTGATATGATGCTTCTTGACATGAGAGCAGTTTCCCAGCGGAGTGAAGAAAACACATGAACCTCACGGGACTCACTCCTCAGTTTATACCGTGTTTTGTTTCAATTAATGTATAATTTAGTTACAAATATGTGATATATCTGAACAACAAAGTGGTCAAAAATCATTTTATTCATTTTTTGGAAACATTTTCATGATCGCTTTTTCCGTTAACTTACATTTTCATTTATTGTCATTTCCATTCAGTCAGTCATTAAGTGCTATTTAAAATGTTAATGTGCTACATATCCACACAAACAAACAAAGTGTGCAGTCCAATGAATGTTAATCTAACTGGGTTTTGATAGATAATATATCTCTTTTTCTTCTCAATTATTTTATTTCTATTGTGCACTCTAATCAATATTAATCCAACTAATGTTCGTTTATACATTTTAAGAATGGCGTTTATCTTTTTTGAGAATGAGTTCTTATTTAATTTTTATTTAATTGGGTCTACAACAGCTGATACAAATGTTTGTGTTTGTGCTATATATATCTATGATTGGGACGCTACTCAAGATGGCGCAGACAAATCAACTTCTGGTAAGACCGAGACCGAGGAGCGAGGAAATGAAAAATAAGAGAAGTGAGAAGGGCCCTAAGTCTCGATGATAGGAGTCGAGGAGGGGAAATGTAAGACTTGAGAAAGTCCTACGGTCCTCCTCCGAGCCTAAACGGCATGCCCTGTGGGAAATGTAGATGCATCCAAAAACAACTTTTTTTAGGAAACCTAAACATCATCGGCGTGTTCATGTTTGTGGTTGTTTAAAGGAAAGGCAATGACGGCTAAATAATTTCTTACAGTTTGACTGCTAAAATGACGTCGTCTGCCATTAGCTTCAGTAAGCTAGCTTAAAGTAGCATACCTCTATCAGATTCAGAACGTTTCTTTCATTGTATGCTGCACAGCATTTGCAGGAGGTACGTTCATTCCCAACGAGCCTGTGTTTTGATTGAGAAGCTTCTCTAATGGTGTCGTGCTTTGTTTTCTATCATTTAATATGTGGTTATTGTGTCTTAGTTCATGGCAAGAACTTGTTTTGGTTTGTTATGTTTTGCTAACGTTTACGTGGTATCTTCAGCTTTTCACCATTTTGACTCTGTTTTATCTGACTGCAGCTCATCTGTCTTTAGAGTTGTTACCCACAGTTATCTGGATACCACTTCAGTACTTTCTTCCAAGAACAAGGCATTCACCTGTCAAGCCATCATGTCTGAGAAAAAACGAAAGTCTACATCTGCTGCTGCTGCTGCTGTTAAAGAGCCCGGTGCTAAGCAGCAGAAGCTGGATCCCACGAAGGAGAAGGGCTGGCTGCAGGACAGTCTGAAGCAGCAGAGGACAAAGAACAAGCAGATGAAATTCAACAAAGAACGCCTCCGCTTCATATCCAACACTGAGAGGATAAAGCAGGGCTCAGAGGGTGTCCTGTACTGGATGACACGAGACCACAGAGTACAAGGTAAACGCTTAAAGCAACTATCAGTAAAGTAACAATATGTTTTGTATTGGTTTGTGTCCTCTCAGTGGTCAACATGTTTTGTTTGTTTCAGATAATTGGGCTCTGATCCATGCCCAGCAGCTTGCTCTGAAGGAGAAGCTTCCTCTGCACGTCTGTTTCTGCCTGTTTGTCCCAAAATCAGAGCTGTCCACTCTGAGACATTACAGCTTCATGCTGAAAGGTCTGAAAGAAGTCGAAAAGGTATTCACTACAAGAATCAGTTTATTGCAAAGTAGGTTTCACATACAAGGAGTAAGCAATAGAGTATTGGTGCATACCATTTAAATAAAAGCACGTTTTGCAAAATCTGAAAAACATGTACTTAATTCCATTAGTACATCAACCAGGTAAAGAACCACCAAGTTCTTTCTTTTTAAGTTATTTTAAAGTAAACCCTTTAAAGGCTCTAGCTTTTCGTTGAATGTTGTATAGCTGAAACAATTGGATGATTATTGGATTGACAGCAAATTAATCAATTACAATTCTGATTTATTCATTGTAAAGGTGGAAATTAAAGTAAAAATGTCAACATAAACAAGTAGATTACAGATATACGCTTCTGTATCTGATTATACAGGTATTTTTTGACAATTGCATGTGATTTTAATGACCAAAAGATAAAGTTAAGGAAAAAAAACTAAATTTGATATATAAAATAAAACACATTTCAAAATTAGAAACATCAATAATACAATTAATCATTATTAGCAGCCTTAGTGTGAGAATTAAAAATAATAACTCAAATAAGTATACCTCTAGTTAAATGTGTATTTTGTGATGATTGAGAGGCACTTAGAAGACTCATAGGTTACATTGATGCTATGACATTTGCACTTTTACCCTCAAATTAATCTTTATTCTGCTCCCACCAAACAGAAGTGCAGATCCTTAGACATCCAGTTCCACCTGCTCCATGGTTCAGCTGGAGATGTTCTCCCCGGCTTTGTCTCTGATCGAGAACTGGGCGCAGTGGTAACAGACTTCTCTCCCCTCAGAGAGCCACTGCAGTGGTTGGAGG